CTCACCCCCCTTCACTTCGCGTCATACACAGTGGTGACCATGCTGGTGCTCTCGCTGCGGCTATGGACCAGCCGCCCACAGACACCACCGATGCTGACGTCCGCCAGCGGTTTGGCCTCCTGGTGGCCTCGATCCTGGGTGGCGTTCGCGACTCGGAGATCGAGACGGCCGTCAACTCGTTCAGCCCGGATGAGCAGGACTTGCTGATGAAGTTTGTCTACCGTGGCATGGCTGTCGGTACCGAGTCTGGCAAGCTCCTCAAGTGGCATGCCGCTCTGTTCAAGGCCTGCGGTCACGGCGCCATCGTCCGCGCCCTCTCGGACCGCGCCTCCGTCTAAGTCGAATGGCATGATGTGCCTGGCTTGGCTGCCTGCTGGCTTGCCGCAGCTCGCCCTCTCTCTCTCTCCACTGCTCTCCTCATGCGGGATGGCCGCGCGTTCGTCTGGGCCTGCGCCCGGCGCCGCGCTTCTCCCTCTCCTCGCCCCCCCCCTCCCCTGTTCCCTCTCGGCCCGGCGACTCTGCCGCTGCCGATACTGCGCCCTGCGCGTGCTGTCCTCATCAAAGCAATACACACTCTGCATGCAGAGGTAGAGTAAGTGGGTGCCAGGAGCAAAAGACGAGTTCATTGGTTCAGCTCCGGGCGGCAAAGTCAGTCTTGGAGGCGACAAAGTCCTTGCAAAAGTGGCGCATCTTGTGCAGATCGACGAGCGACTTTGGCCTGCGGGTCTTGGACGCGTCGATGATGCCGACAAACTTGGAGTAGTAGGTGAGGAGTTGGCCGACGGTGTACTTGATGACCTCTGCTGAGTTGAGCAGGTTGTCAAAGGTGGTGAGGATGTGGTCGGTTGTGGCGGCGAGGGCGTCCTTCCAGGAGGCGGCAAAGGTGTCTGCGACGGCGGCGACGTCGTGGGCCCGGACCATGTTGGCGAGGGCGGTGCGGAGCTCGGCGACCGAGGCGCGCGGGCCATTGTCGGAGCTCGTGCCGCTGGCCTCGGCTTCAGCGACGTCCTGCAGCTCTGCGAGGATGGGGAAGCCATCGTGGACAAAATCGAGGAGCGGAGCAAAGGCGGAGCGGAGCCGGTCCTCGGCGTAGACCTCGATGTGCTGCTGGATGAGCTCGCGCCACGAGCGGGCGTACGGCGCGTTGGGCAAGCGCTCGTCGAGGATGGTGAGGATGAGATCGTAGTTGTTGATGAGGAAGACGACGGCGAGCGACGGGTCCGGCAGGGCCTGCGAGGCGCGGAGGAGGAAGCCCTCCATGCTGCGGGTCATCCGCTGCAGTTGGAGCGAGAGGTCCTTGTACCCGTGGTTGACCTCGATGATGGCGGCGACAAACTCGGCAAAGCGGCGGGTGATGTACAGGGCGTGCTCGTCGAGGGCGGCCAGCGTCCGCGGGTCCAGCTCGGCCAGCGACTCGAGGTGCTTGTTGAGGACCATGGCGAAGCGCGGCCAGAGCATAAGGCGGACGCAGTTGAGAAAGTTCTCCAGGGCCGGGACCGAGCGGCGGGCCATGATCTCCTGCTGCATGTGCGAGATGCGGGCGCAGAGTAGGATGCCGATGCAGTCCCACGACGACGAGAGGTAGTCGCCGAGCATCGAGACAATGACCTCGGTGGCCTTGGTGAACACATTGTGGAAGACCTCCTCCTTGCCGAAAAAGGCAATGTCGAAGAGGTACTCGGTGGTGGCGGTGTCGGCCACCAGGGCCGAGATCGACCGAAATAAGACCTCGAACGGGTACTTGGCCTTTCCGGCCGAGAGCTCATTCGGCATGGCCGCCGGCTGGTTGATGTCATCGAGGACGGTGCCACGGTTGCCGAGCGAGAAGACGAGCTTGCGCGACTTTGCTGCCTTGCTAAAGAACGAGCGCTTCGACGACTCCTTGACGCCAAGCAAGTCTGTCTTGTGGGCGATCGGAGTCTGCAGCTTGAGCATGGCGCCGACGTACCACTTAAAGTAGGTGTAGTAGATCTTGCCGATGGTCGCCTCGTAGGCGCGGCGGACCTCGTCGGCTACGTCGCGGCCGTTCTCGACCACAAAAGCGTACAGCTCCTTGTACTTGAGCAGCTTGCCGGTCTGCACAATCTGCACGTTGGTCTTTGGTCGCCGGAACGAGTACACGACGCCAAGAAGAAACTCACGGACCTTGGCAATCGCCATCAGCCGCAGCTCGTTGAGAGCAGGGACAAGCTCCTGCATGGCCTTGGTGTTCGACGCCATGTCCGACTGGGTAAACGCAATCTTACCGTTGAGCTCGCGCAGCAGCTCCATGTACTGCTCATCGACCGGGTCGTCGCGGATGCCGTGGACAAACCGTGACGAGACAACCATGTCGTCGACCGCTCGCTGCAGCTGGGCAGAGAGCTCCTTGCGGTTTGTGAGCTTGATGTTGAGCGCCACAGACCGCGCCTGCAGGTTGCGGATCTCGGCGGAAATGCCGCCCAGCCCGGCCTGGAAGCCCGAGAGGAGACCCTCCATGGACGCCAGAATGGCGTCTGCAGACTCGATCTCGTTGTGCAACTGCGCAAACGACTCGGCTTGCTGCACGTAGTCTTCCACACTTGCGCCTTCCACCTCACGAAGCTTGGCCTCGAGCTCTGAAGCAAACGCGTCCAAATCCGCCTCCTCGTCCTCCAGCACCTTTGCCAGCAGCGGATGCTGGGCAAACTGGGCCAGCTCGTTCTCACCAAACTCGATCTCATGCCGAGTGATGTCCAGCGAGCCTATGTCCAACGAATCGATGTCCACAAACTGTCAACCACCATGATCCTTGCTCTCTGTAAGTGGTTGGTCGGCTGCTGCTCCCCCCTCCCCCCCCCCCCCCCCCCCCTCCCCCTTTCCGCTGCGGTGCCTGCCTGCATCACCATGACCTACCTGTGTCTCCTCTGCACCAGCCTTCTCCCCAGCATCCATCAAGTCCTTCCGCAGTCTCTCCTCATCGGTTCCTCTTCCTTCCTCCCTCCTCTTCTTCTTCTTCTGCTGGCGCTCTTCCCTGTCGTCTCCGGAAGGCACAGCAGCAGCAGCTCCACCTGGTGCCCCTTCCTGCCCTCTCTGTCCTTGCCCTCCTCCGCCACCGCTGCCACCACCAAACAGGGCAGACCGCAGGCCGTCGACATTGTCTACCTGAATGTCGAGCTCGTCGTCCATCTCTTCCCCGTGAAGAGACGCCTGTGACTCGGTGTGTCTGTGGGGGGGGGGCAGGAGTGACGACGGGTCGCGGGCGTGACCTGGCCGGGTGGCTGGACGCAGCGATCAAGGCCTTTGGGCTGGGGCGGCAGATGACTGCTGTGGGCACACTTGCTTTGGGCTGAGGGACAGAGATCAGAGAGGGCGTTTGGGATGGGCTGAGGGACAGAGATCAGAGAGGGCGTCTGGGATGGGCTGAGGGACAGAGATCAGAGAGGGCGTCTGGGATGGGCTGAGGGACAGAGATCAGAGAGGGCGTTTGGGATGGGCCGAGGGACAGAGATCAGAGAGGGCGTTTGGGATGGGCTGAGGGACAGAGATCAGAGAGGGCGTTTGGGATGGGCTGAGGGACAGAGATCAGAGAGGGCGTTTGGGATGGGCTGAGGGACAGAGATCAGAGAGGGCGTCTGGGATGGGCTGAGGGACAGAGATCAGAGAGGGCGTCTGGGATGGGCTGAGGGACAGAGATCAGAGAGGGCGTTTGGGATGGGCTGAGGGACAGAGATCAGAGAGGGCGTTTGGGATGGGCTGAGGGACAGAGATCAGAGAGGGCGTTTGGGATGGGCTGAGGGACAGAGATCAGAGAGGGCGTTTGGGATGGGCTGAGGGACAGAGATCAGAGAGGGCGTTTGGGATGGGCTGAGGGACAGAGATCAGAGAGGGCGTTTGGGATGGGCTGAGGGACAGAGATCAGAGAGGGCGTCTGGGATGGGCTGAGGGACAGAGATCAGAGAGGGCGTCTGGGATGGGCTGAGGGACAGAGATCAGAGAGGGCGTTTGGGATGGGCTGAGGGACATCAGATCACGAAAACACACGCCTGTTTCGGTCGGTCGTTGATCAGCAGTCGGTGGTCGGCCGGCGGTCGTTGGTTGGGCGGCGGTCGTTGGTCGGGGCGGCGGGCGGCGGTCGGGCGGCGGTCGGCGGGCGGCGGTTGGCGGTCGGTCTGAGGGCAGCCGCCGGCACTCGTCTCGCCGAACCGCAACATGTTCTCGTTCGGCAACACGGGCGACGACGCCATGTTTGAGCGCGACGTTGGCGGAGGATCTCACCTTGGGCAGGTGTTCAACGGTAGCAATGGAGGCGGTGGGGAGAACGGTAACTTTCAGTACCAGCCCGAGCACCAGCCCAGTCGTGCTACTGGTGGCTCTCGCTCTGGTGGCGTCATGGCTGCTGAGGAGGCGTCCCAGTCGGCGGCGGGTGGTGCCAGCTCGGGAGGCGATCCCAACGCTGTCCTCCACCACAACTCGGTGCACCTGCAGAAGTAGTACGTGCTCTGCCAGCAGCATGCCATCCTCCCACATACACTCTACCCCCTTCCTTGCGGTCCCCTGCACCGCTCTGCATGCTTTCTGTGTCTTGCTTCGACTTGCTCCGTCCCCCCCACCGCCAGGTGGCCCATGCCCCCCCACCTCGCCCCGCCGCGTGACTTCGGCCAAAAAAATCGAAGACGACGGTGGCGGGCAGCGGTAGCCATGGCTGCGGCGAGGATGGTGGCCCCGAGACGGTGGAAGGGTGACTCACGTGGGATGTGCGGTGGGATAGCGACTCGGTGAACCGGCGGTATGAGGACGTGGGCACCGTGGGCGCCGCGATTCTGGGCTCGCAGGCTGCAGAGCAGTTCCGGATTGTGCTGTACCTGCCGTCGCAGCAGCGGGTGTGCGAGACGCCCGTGGTGCCAGGCACGTCGTGCGTGACGCAGGCCTCGCTCTACCTCTCGCTACTTGACGGCAACAAGCAGTCGTGGTCGCTCAAGTTCGGCTCGACCGCCGATCGTGACAATTGGGTGCGGTACCTTGCGATTGCCAAGGCGCTGCTCCGGCCGCGCGAGGTGGTGACGCACACGCTTGCGGCCGGGAAGAAGGACTCTGCGCCGGCTGCGCAGGGCGACATTGCGACGTGCTCGTTCACCGGGTACGTGATCTCGGGCTCGGGCCAGCTCGGCAACGTGTTTGTCTCCAAGGGCCTCGACACCAAGCACAAGATGCAGCTTGGCGCGCCGGGAGCGCCGCCGGGTCTCTCCGAGGGCATGGTCGGCATGCACAAGGGCGCGCGGCGGATCATCATTGTGCCTGCGGCGCTGGCGTACGGGACGCAGGGCTCGGCCAATGTCCCGCCCAACTCGGCGCTGTGCTACGAGGTGGCGCTGGTCAAGTCGAAGAAGGCGCCGGCCAGCGGCGCAAGCGGGCAGCAGGCCGGCGGCGCGGGAGTGATGGAGCGGATGCGAGCGATGGCGGTGCCGATGCAGACGCAAGCCGGGTACGGGCCTGCCGCGATGGTGCCGATGCAGGGCCAGGGTGGAGGTATGGCGCAGGGCCAGGGCCAGGGCGGGAGCATGGCACAGGGCCAGGGCGGGAGCATGGCGCAGGGCCAGAGCGGGTACGCCGCGGGTGGAGGCGGGCCGGCGATGGGCCTCGGCTCGGCGCTCGGCGCGGACCCGTCGGTGGTTCAGCTCCTCCTTGACAACCAGAAGAACCAGAACGAGCTCCGTGTTCAGCTCGGGACCATGTCGGGCAAGCTCGACGAGGTGTCGATGAAGATTGACCACGTCGACCCGTTCCGCGGGCTTGGCTCGGAGGAGAACCGCATGTCGGGCCTCATTCTTCTGCAGAACCTGCAACGGATCATCATGGAGAACGACATTCTCAAGCGCGAGAACTTTGACAAGACGCACCGGATCGACATTCTCACAGACAAGGTCTCGAAGCTCCTCGCCAAGAACGAGCAGTACATCGACGACTCGTCGCGGATCATCGAGCAGCGCAACGACACGTTGAAGCACTCGGCGGCCGAGGCGCGGCGACAGCTGCAGGACTTGCACATGGAGAAGGCCAAGGCCGACAACGCGCTTGCCGAGGCGCAGGCCGAGCTCTCAGAGGCGACGCGGCAAATGGCCAAGCTCAAGCTGGAGCGCAACCAGCTGCGGGCGGAGCTCGAGGCGACGACGTCGGAGCTGGCCAAGGTCAAGGAGGCGTGCCAGAAGATGCGGATTCAGCAGAAGGACGATGAGACGCAGGTCGAGCTGCTGACCAAGACGTACAAGGACGAGAAGGCTGCGCGCAAGGTTGCGCTCCGCAAGGTCGAGACGCTGCAGGAGGAGCTTCTGGAGGAGAAGCAGTTCCGCCAGTCGGCCGAGGAGGAGCTCGCGGCCCGCAAGAAGAAGTACGCCGCCGATCTGCGGCGCATCGAGTCGCTCTTCAATGAGGAGAAGAAGCGGCTGGAGACGGAGATCGACAGCATGCGCGAGTCACTCCGGCAGGAGCGGCTGGCGTCGGGCGTCATCTCGCAGGAGACCATTGCCCGCATCGAGAAGGAGCAGGAGGACAAGTGGCAGGCGCTCATGCGCCAGCAGGAGGTCACCATCACCAACTCGGCCATGCACAAGGCACAGCGCGACAAGCAGGAGGCCGAGCTTGCGGCCTACGAGCGCGGCCGCCAGGACGTTATGTCCGAGAAGAACAAGGCTGTGGAGCAGGCGTACTCCAAGGGCATGCAGGACGGTGTCGAGAAGGGCACCGCCGAGGCGCTGGCCCTCACCGGCGGCGCTGGCGGCGCTCCGGCCTCGGGTGAGGTCCGCCGCCTCCGCGCCGCGCTCGCTCAGGCCGAAGACGACAAGAACGAGTCTGTCAAGGCCATCATGTCGCAGGTCTACTTCAACATTGCAGACGAGTTTGACGAGGACTCGATGTACGAGACGCCGGCTATTCTTGAGTCGGTCATCACCGTCATCAAGAAGACCACGCTCGAGCTGCTCGAGGCTGGCAGCGGCGCCGGTGGCGCATCTGCTGCCGAGAACGAGGCCGAGGACGAGGGTGAGGACGAGGCCGAGGCCGAGGCTGAGACTGAGGCTGAGGACGAGATTGTGGACCCGCTCGGCGCTGCAGCTGCCGAGGTCGAGGTGGAGGCTGCGGTCGAGGCCGAGAGCGAGGCCAAGGCCGACGGCGAAGACGAGGGCAAGATCGAGGTGGAGGCTGAGACCGAGGCCGCTGCGCCCGCTCGCGCGTACTCGGACGATGAGCTGGCCGAGCTGATGGAGGATGATGATGTGGTGTATGGCGGCGCCAAGGCCGAGGCTGCTGCGCGCAAGGCCGACAGCGATGCCGACGCCGACGAGGACGAGGACGAGGATGTCGTGGACGACCCGCTCGCACCTGCGGCCGACGCCGACGAGGCCGAGTCGGGCGACGCGTTTGACGCGGGCGACGCGTTTGACGCGGGCGACGCGTTTGACGCGGGCGACGAGGCTGACGACGACGCGTTTGACCATCCGCCACCGCCTGCCGACGACGACGACGACGACGACGGCGAGGACGAGGCTGAGGACGATGCGCCCAAGGCGGCGTCCAAGGCTGCCGACCTGTTTGGCGACATGTCAGACGACGACGACGGGTTTGCGTCGCCGGCGCCGGCGGCCAAGCGCGAGCGGATCGTGTTCTCGGACGAGGAGGATGATGCCGACGCCGACGCGGCCGCAGAGGCGGACGCGGATGCGGCCGATGAGCCCGCGGACAAGCCCGCACCAGCTAAGAGCAAGGCGGCTGACCTCTTTGGCAGCGACTCGGACTCGGACGACTTCCTCGGCGACTTCAAGCCCAAGTCGACGCCCAAGGCTGACTCGACCAAGAAGCCACAGATCGCTGCATGGCTCGCCAACGAGGCCACCCCGGCCGAGAAGGCCGAGTTCCAGGAGGTTCTCACAGAGCTCAACCGCCAAGAAGCCGGCGGCGGCGTCGTCCGGCCTCGACGACCCGGATCTTGACTGGCTCAACTGAGCTCGGCGTGAGCCTCCCCCCCCCCCTCCCCATCAAACAATCCTACCTGCATATCTATCTGTCTATTGTTGCCGTTCGTTTCTGTGCATTGGAGGCTGATTGGGTGCAGCCCGGCTACCACATGCCCTGCTCGACGGCGAATGTGAGGTCGGCGACCGGATCGGCGTGCGCGACGTTGTCGGCGCCGCGGGCGAGGCCGACGCGGATCGAGTCACCGGGCACCACAGGGCCCACCCCCGACGGAGTGCCGGTCATGATCACGTCGCCAGGAGCGAGCGACATCAGCCGCGAGACGTACGCAACCAGGTACGGGACCGAAAACAGCATGTCAGTGGCACCGCCGTCCTGCCGCAGCTCGCCGTTGACTTCTGCCCACAGCCGGACGTCGTGGACGTCATCGCCGAGCGCGTCCTTGGCGATGAGGTCCGAGATCGGGGCGTAGGTGTCGCGGCCCTTTGCCTCGGTCCACGGCAGGCCCTTCCCCTTGGCCACGCTCTGCACCTCGCGAGCGGTCATGTCCAGACCGAGCGCGTAGCCTCCGACGACCGCCATGGCGGCATCCACGGCAGCATCAACCCCGGCGCCCGCCTTGGCCGCAGCCGGTGACGGATCGGCCGGAAGATCCAGACCCTTTGCCGACTCGCCGATGACCACACACAGCTCGACCTCATGATGCAGCTCCGGCACGCCCATCGGGACGCGGATGGCCTCCCCAGGCCCGATGTACGCCGAGGTCGGCTTGAGAAAGACGACCGGAGCAGCTGGGACAGGGTTGGCCAACTCGGCGGCGTGGGCCGCGTAGTTGCGCCCGATAGCCACAATCTTGGTTCCCAGCGTACGGAAGGCGGTCAGTGGAGGACTTGCCATGTCTGTGATGTGTGTGTGTGTGTGTATGTGTGTGTGAGGAGAAGTGTGCCGTGGCTGTGGTCCTCTGGCTCCAGCTGTCGTGCCACTGACTCAACGGTCGGTTTGGCGTCACGGCGGACGGCGCCACGGTTGCCGTGGTCCATGGGGATGGCATCAGTATGGGGATGGTTGACTATGGTGTGAGTCGCCATCGTCTTGGGTGGCGACGGCGATACCGACGGCAATGCCGATGACAACGATGCTGATGATGACCATGATGATGACCATGATGGTGACGATGACCACGATGATGACGATGACGATGACGATGACGATGACGATGACGATGACGATGACCATGATGGTAACGATGCAAACTGATCCAGGTGCACCACAAGAATGCGCGACTGATATCCGATGCGCTGGCGTGCTCCACCGTCCCACCAACCGCTCTCCTCACCATGTTCCCCGCGTTCCCCTCTACTGCCTGGCACCAGGTCCTGCCAACGGTCGCCGACAGCGACGGCAGCGACGACAGCGACGACAGCGACGACAGCGACGAGGACGAGGACGAGACCACTCGTCGCCACACACAGTCCCACGCCACCATGCAGCACACCCAGGTAGCACCCTCTGCATGTGCCCTTCTTGATGGTGCGGTGGCAGAGGCCACAGCTACTCTGGCTGCCGCCCCGTCTCCGGCATCGGCGCCTTTGGCTCAGGGCGGTCTCATGCAGGCCATCCGCTTCTCGGCATCGGCCAAGGCTGCTCTGGCTGCTGATGGTCTGCTTCATTCGCAAGGTCAATTCGATCTCATCTTGCCTGCGTTGGATCGTCTTGCTCTCCTCGCAGAGGATGCTGTTCACCTCTGTCTCGCTGCTGTTCATGCTGCTTCCGCTGATGAGTCGGCTCAGGGCGCGCTCCTCTTTGCCCTTCACATCGCCGATGAGGTCAAGGCCGCCAGGGCTGCCGCAGGAGGTAGTGCCGGACAAGACTTGGGATCGGGAATGGGCAGACATGCTGCACAAGCCGCTTACCTCGGTGCTATGGCCCCGCAGATCAGCCCGATCACCTCCAAATGGGCTCCGCAGCGCGAGGTCTACGCCCCTCCGCACGCGCCGCATGCCGCAAAACCGCCGCGCGGTCGCACAGAGTCGGACGTCATGATTGACAAGCTTGCTGCTGCTCTACTGCGTTCTGCCGCAGAGGAGAAGGAGAAGGGCGCAGACGTGTCGGCTGACATGTGGGACGCGCTCAAGGCCGCGTCGGAGCTCTCGTCCGTGCGGGCGGGTAAGATCAGCCTTCCGCTCATCGACTCTAGCTCGGACTCTTGCTCAGGCTCGGGCTCAGTTCCGGACTCACCGCACCGCCGTACTCGCAAGCGCGGTTCCCGTCGCAAGCATCGGCGGAGAAAGCATCGGAGCTCCCGGCGGCGCAAGGCCAAGCGCAAGAGCCGGTGCAGCCAGGGATCGGACGACTACTCGTCGTCCGAGTCGTCGCCGCGGCGCGCACACACGGGACTGACCCGCGTGCGCGTCATTGTCGGCGATCGCACGTTCCTCATCGCCGCACCAGAGCTCCCATCCTGGTCTGTTCGCGACCTCTGCGATGCCGCGACGCTCCGCGCTAACCGCAACGCAGCCCACGCCCCGGTTGTAGTTCGCGAGCTTGTCTTTCGCGGCGCGATCTGTGGCGAGGACGACTGGCTTGCCGATCTGGTAGGCGTCGACCTTGGCGCAGCAGGCACACCCACCTTTACCATGTACGATCCGGCCGATGGCCGTTCACCACCGCCGCACGCATACTCCCACCCGGCTATTGCGCCGCGCTCGCCTTACGCCTCCTCGCCACCCATCTCACCGGTAAGGCAGCCGCCGCCGCCGCGCCGGATGGAGCATGCCACGCCGCCGCCGACCCCGATGATTCCGGGCGTCAACCTCGACGAGCTCCAAGGTCTCGACGAGGCCACCATCAAGGAGCGGCTCGCTGCCGCGCTCTCTGGCGTTCCGACCGACACCCTTGTCAATCTCGCAGCTTCACTTCAGTAAAGTGTGCGCTCAGCGCCAGCTCTGTGACAGCGCACGCCGGCGCACAACCAGCGTCAAGCCCGTCGCTACCAGCAGCAACCCAGCGTATGCCAGCATCGACACTGTCACGATAGACGCGCCGATCACGGCTGACTCGGTCGGCATAGTGACGGCACTATCAGGGCTTGTAGTGGCGATGGTGATCGCCACCTGCACCGTGTTGTTCACAGGCGTCATGTCCGTGCCGTACTCGGGCGCTGCCAGCGCTGTAAACGACACGATCTGCTGGTTCTCGCTCGCTCCGAGCCGGAACACAAACGTCGCTGTGTGCGACGCTTGCGGCTGCAGCGCCGGAAGAGCGCCGTCAGGCCGGGACACCAGCGTCAGCGCGCTGGGTTCGGTGTGGGCGAGGCTCCACCGGGGGACAGCGCCGATGCCGCGGTTTGTGGCCGTGAGCGTGATCGCTACACTCGAGCCTGGTGCTGACAACGTCGTGTTGGCAACAGCTGACCGAGAGCGAGACATCGGTGGCAGATGAAGATGGCACCACGCACAAGACGAAGATCAGAGCAGCAGCGTGAAGGAACTCATGGCGCACGTACATGGTACCGCACGCTAGAGGGGTGCTTGCAAACGGGCGTGAGATCGTGCGCGCGAAGCGTTGGCAGCATCTCCCGGGAACACTTCAAATTGGCTAGTGCACCTCCCACCCAAGTTCCCGGGAGATTCACCAGCCGTGGAAGGCGCGCGCATTGGCGCGCGCATCCAACGGCCTCTAGCCACCTCCAACTGTACCACCTGCAGGTATCCGGTACCTTGATCACACGTCTCTCCTCACTAGCTTGCGGACGCAGCTGTTGAGCTCTACGCACCCGTGCTCCACGTGCCAGTAGCGCGCATGACACCTCCGCACGTGTGCCTCCTTGTGGCGGCCTTGATCTTTCATTTTGCAACTGGCTCCTCCCTCCTTCCAGAGGTCACGGTCCAGGGGGACATCGTGCGCCAGATGTTGGGCTTCTCATCGGCCTGCTGCGACCTTGACGGCGATGGTCTCGTGGACTGCGCTTTTGGGGGTCCCCAGCTCTTTTCACAGGCTCCGGGCATCGTGTACATCTTCCTTGGTTCAAGTGGCCATGACTATGAAAGCGATCTATCTGCAGCTTCAGCTGATGTCCGGATTGAGGGTGAGCACAAGAACCATGGTTTTGGCCGAGCCCTTGTATGCTCAGACATTGACGGTGATGGACAGGATGACGTTCTGGTCGGAGCAAGCAGCTTCGAGAACACTGGAAGAGTGTATGTATTCTTCGACGTTTTCAACCTGGCTGCAAACGCAACTATCACTGGTGTATCTGGTGGTGGTTTGTTTGGAGATGCAATTGCTGCTACCAGCACCGTGGCTGTTGTGGGCGAGAAGCAAAGCGCCCCAAGTGGAAGATTATTCATCTTCTCGACGGCGACGTTGCTTGCTGATGGACCTCCTCTGCCATCAACAGCTGCAACAGTGGTAATCGAGGCCGTTGCAGAAACCGGCTCGCTGTTTGGAGGCTCACTCTCCATTGCCCAGTCTACATCCGGATCCGACTTTCTCGTAGTCGGAGCACGTGAGTCATACCTTAGTTGCGAGCGCTGCGGTCAGGTTTATGTTTTTGATCTCGACGCGCTAGTTGCTCTCGGCGGCACACATGATACATCGCAAGCTATCGCTACCTTTGTCCCAGAGACCACCAACGTTATCAATCAGAATCTTGGCACCTACGTGGCGATGTATGATGTCAACGGCGACGGCGAGCCGGACTTTATTCTCTCTGCCCCTGGCGAGCCAGCAACAGCACCATCCTTTCGCGGCAGTGTGTACATCCACTTTGGAACCGCCTCGCCCCCGTCCGGAGTCACTAACGTCTCGACGGCCGACATCATTCTCCGCGGAGCCCCAGGCTCGCTGTTTGGCACGACGTTCACGGCCGGCGACATCGACCGGGACAACAAGACCGACGTTCTTGTGGTCGATCCCTGCGACGGGGCGTACCTATTCCTCGGCGCCAACCTTCATCCAGGCGACAACGCCGCCGTTGGTGCCGCGAACTACTTCACCGAGGCCGGGCCTGCTGGCGCGTGCAAGTACGGCGACTCGCTGGTGATGGCCAACGTGAACAACGACGTCTGGGGCGATGATGTACTGATCGGGAACCACCGCCACACCAACGGGGCCTTAACGTTCTCGGGCGGCGTAGCCATCCACCTCTCGTCACCATGCCTCGCCTGGGAGGCCTTCTCCTGCCTCACCGGCTGCGATGCTGGCGTCAACTCGACTGCCGCTCTCGACGCTTGCGGCGTATGCGGCGGCGACAACTCGACGTGCTGGGCGACACCGCCATCCAACGTGAGTCTCATCGCCTCGGTCATTCTGCGCAAGAGCTTTACGATCAACGAACTTGTGGCCCGGGTGTCTGCCACCGATCCAGATGCCAACGACGTGGTGAGCATTGTCCTTGACGCTACCAAAACCACCTGCCCGGTTGTGCTCGTCAACGGCGACGAGTTGCGGCTGGCGCACCCCGTCGATCCAGCCGCGCTCGGTGCTAGCTGTACGGTGGCGGTTGTCGCCAGTGATCGGCACACACCTTTGCCCAACACAATCACCGCATACGTCGTTATGGCCGTTTACCAGGCGCCGCCGTTCGACATCGACTTCCGGCTGCCGTTTCCTCTGGCAGAGGGAGGATACCCTGAGCATGCAGAGGTCGGCGAAGTTGCTGCGATGCTCGAGCTCAGCGCCGGGTCGACTGCGCCAGGGCTTGCACTGGTGGCCGGCAACTGCTCGGGTATTGTGCTGGATGGGATGAACGTCACGGTGTCTGTCCCGTTCGACTTCGAGAGCCTCGGCGCGAGCTGGTGCGAGCTGATCCTCGCCAACGGCAAGGACATCGACGATGCTCGCAACGCCAGCCTGGTGCTCCCGCTCATTGATATCAACGAGCCGCCGACGGCGGTGCTGGCCAATGGCACTGCACCGAGCGTGCCGTTTGGCCGGTACATGATGAACGTGGCGCCGGGAACGGTCATCGCGGTGCTGAGCGTAGTCGGCGATCCCGACACCGGCGAGAGTGCGAGCTTTGCCATCACCAGCACCTCGCCGCCTGGTGCAGCCGTGACCATCGTCGAAGGTGCAACGCTTGTCACCACAGGCATCCTCTTCGGTCCGACAACCAACGTGACAGTGCGCGCAAGCGACAGTGGGACGCCGACAAACATGCTCTTGCTCGAGCTCGTTCTCGGAGTGACGGTGACAAACCGGCCGCCGACCGCCATCCTGCTCGACGGCGCGGCGTCATCGGTCCTGGTTGGACCGGTGAGCGAGTTGGCGGCGGTAGGGACGGTAATCGGAAGCCTGGTGGCGGTGGGTGATCCGGACGTCGGCGCGGCGGCGACGTTTGCGGTGACGGCGGTTGCGCCGATGGGAGCCGGGATTGGACTTGACGCCGCAACTGGAACGCAGCTTGTGGTGATGGCGGCACTGGACTTTGAGAGTCAGCCGCTGGTGGCGGTGACTGTCGCGGCGCGTGACAACGGCGTGCCTGCGCTCACCATCGAGGCGACTTTCTCCATCCAGATCAGCAACGCCAATGAGGCTGGGAGCGCCATCGTTGTTGCCGGCAGCAGCGACGGAAGCGCGCGCACGACAGCGAGCGCGACCGTCGGTGACGTGGTGGCCGTCCTCGCTGTAGTGGGCGATCCCGACCCCCCGCCCGGTGGCTACCTCTTCAGCGAGCCGCTTCCTGGGACAAACGGATGTCCCAGCGGGAGCAACGGGACCGCCGGCGCGGATCCTGTGTTTGCGGTCGAGATGGGTCCATCTGGCGGGCAGATTGTAGTGGCACGGGAACTTCCTACGGCCGGCGCGGTCTTTGTAGTGGCAGTCCTGGCGGAAGAGGCTGACGACGCGGCGGTGGCCGTCTGTGGCGAGGTGATGGTGGCAGTGGCGGCCGGGGCCGGAGCCGACGAGGCGGCACCCGCGACGCAGATCGAGCGGACCCGTAAGGTTTTCCTTGGGGACTATGTGGCGGTGAGCATGGTGGTGTACGCTGGCGTGCTTGTGGTCCTCACCACCGTGGTGGCGGTGGCGAGAAAGATGACTCTGAGCCGCACGCAATGGACGCGTTGGGGCGGATGAACGCGCCGCGGAAGCAACAGGTCCGGCGGTGGCAGGTACATACTTACTTTGACCCTTAACGGTACGGTCTTTCGGACGCGTTGTTGCGCCTCTCAAAGTGAACAACTCGATGATGCTTGACTTCCAGGCAGTTCACCGGCCGACGCTGCGCGACGCCTGCTTGGCCTGCCGACGACCGGGAAGGAGAGCATCACAGAGTTAAACACAGCGGCCGGACAGGGGAGCGCGAGGACGTTGTGGATCTTCTTGTGACGGACGAGCTTGCCGGTCGGCGTGGCCGATGCCGGTGGGGCGGAGGCGCATGACGATCGTCGGGTGCTCGACGTCCTCGCCAAGGCAGGCGACCGCCTTGCTCAAACCCCACTCGGGGAGCTTGGTCGAGAGCTTGGGGTCGCCCTTGGCGATGAACGAGGCGACGATGTCGGCAATCGATACCCTCCTCTGGCCCTTGATGCGGTCGCTGGGCTTGGGCTTGTAATCGCCGGCGACGACAACCAGGCAGTTGGACAGCGAGACGCGTTCGAGCTCGCGGTGGAGCTTCTTCTCGGCAAACTCGGGCGCCGTCGAGCCCTTCTGCTGCTCGTACTTTGATTGGAAAACGTGTTGCACCCTGTTGTTCTCCCACTTTGACATGTGCTTGCACTTGCGCCTTCGACTCGATCTGCGCCAGCGCAAACTGAGCCGCCGCACTACAGCATGGTTGGCAAATGTGGGGCACGTGCTCGTTTGTTTCGTTTGCGCAGACGCAGACGGCACCAACTGGTCACGCGTCGATTGGCACACGTGGATCGAGTCAAGCTGCTCAACGTGCCACACTTTCCCACTTCCGCCACACCATGCACGCAGACTCCCATCACAACATACGTTCACTCTTTCCGCCGCAGCCGCCCGGGCCAGGCCAGCCACTAGCACGACAATACGACCTGGCTGAGCCGACCATCGACTCACGACTCTTGCGGCACAGCCTCCGATGTCTCCATGGCCACCGGTGCGGCGTCATCGTCATCGTCACCGTCTCCGTTCGCCCCAGCCTGGGCCGCTGCCGGCGATGAAACACCCGAGTTGACCTCCGAGTTGGCCGTCGAGGTAGCCGTCGAGTTGACTGCCGAGCTCTCCATATCGGCCACGATCTGTGCGGCCCGATTGGCGTTCCGCGCCGCCAGCTTGCGCTCACGTAGTTTGTTGTACACTATCAACATCCCCGCACCCCCGCACCGCCTTCACCACCATCGTGAGTCCCCCTCGTGTCATCTCCTCTCACCCCCCCTCACCATGCCCCCCCTCCCCCCTACCCACGTACGCGCGAGGTCCACCGTCAGCGGCTCGACAAACTGCTCAAACTCGCACTCCTCCAGAGCACGAAGCACGTCTGTGTCGGTGATAGAAGTGCGACCTGAGGTAGCCGCCAAATGCTGGGCACTATATTCGCATGTGTGTGTCTGCTGTGAGTTGCTTGTACGTGGTGAGGGGGTCAGGCAGAGGGGGGGGAGGGGCGGAAGGGCGAATGAGGTAGAATCGAGTGATGGCGTACGCCTCTGTAATGAAGAGAATGAAAACAGCCGAGGACTTCTGGAAGGCGAGCTTGACGTCGTTAGTCAGCAACGTTCCGTTGGGCACAAACTGGCGCACATGACGGTAGACCTGTGACCGAGGCAGCTCGAGCAAGTCCGACATTACGCACTCCCTGCGGCAGGCGACGAGTGGTTGGCCACCCTATGGTCGTCCTCGTCCTGCCTCTGGCAGCCGTGATCGCGATCACGATCACGATCACTGTCACTTTGGCTCGTTTTGGCTCATTTTGCTCGTTCCACAAACTGCGACCTTTTTCGGCCGCTGACCAGCCACCACCGGTCACTCCACACCAAGCAGCCCCCCCCCCCCCCCCGCCTCCATGTCTTTGACCTCGGCATGTACGCTGTTCTCGTCCGAGGGTGGCGGTGGTGGAGAAAGAGGTGCTTCTCCAACGCACCCGGGGCCTAGTCCACCGTACACGGGCGAGGATGCGCTAGAGGCGCTTGCCGACCTCCCGCTTTCTGCGGTGGACCAGCTCGAAGCAAGCCACCCTGCTGTCCAGGTCGCTCTCCGCATTCGGTGCGGTGCTCGGAGAGTGTTCCTTCTTCGGCCAGCGGTGGTTAGGGCGACACAGCGGAAAGCTGCTGTTGCTGCTGCTGCAGCTGCGCTGGCTGCTCTCCCGCAAGCTGCGCCTGCCGCAAAGTACCTCCTCGCGAGCCTCCCTGCTCTTGCTGCCGCCGCTGCTGCTGCTGATGCCGCGCTCCTCCGCCTGCATGCTCTCCTTCACGCCACCTTTGCTTCGCTTCGTGCGGCTCTCGCGGCCTCTGCTCTTCTCGTCGACGCTGCTCGCCAGGTCCAGGCGGTTGTGCTGTCCAGCCGGGGCGACGGCCTCGGGCGCCGCGCGGTGGACGATGACGAGGGTGGTGTGGTTGGCGACGCGCTCAGCCGCCGTGAGCTTTCGCTGCTTCGATCGGCGCAGATAGTCATCTGCCTGGGGGTGTATGTGGCTGAGCGCGGCGAGCTGGTTATGGCTGGCACATCAGCCGAGCCGTGGCCGACGGGATCAGGGTCGGGCGGGATTGAGACGCCGCGGGCGTCGACGTCAGCGTCGGGCATGCTATCCGGCCGGCCGGCGCGCGGCGTCGGCGCGCTGCAAGCACAGCAGCTTGTTTACAGCTCGCAGGAGGCGCTGCTAGACGCGTTGGAACTTGTCGCTGACGACAGGCCGGCGTCGTCTGGCGATGCCGAGCTGGCTCAGGACGCGGTGCGGAAGCGGCGGCCGTCAGCCGAGTCGGGCAGCGGGGGTGGCGGCGTTTGCGGCGGCGAGGTCAAGCGGCGGCGGCTGCTGGTGTCTGCGGGGCGATCGCTGCTGGATTCGTCACCGCAGTCGCCGGGCCTGGGCTCTGCCGGGTCGCCGTCGGCGCGCGGGGTTGTGTTTCTTGGCCTCTCGCCTGCGGGCGACGACGACGATGACGATGGTGAAGACGGTGGTGGCGGCAGGGTGGGCGATGAGCCTGAGTTTCGGCCTTCGCACTTGTCACTTGCGCTTGGCGCGACGCAGACACCGACGGTGAGCCTTGCGCAGCAGCTGGCCGAGGCACCGCCGACGTCTGTGCTGTTTGAGGGGCGGCATCGCCCGCTGGCGGCGCGGGCTGAGATGGATTCTGCGCCGTCGTCGGCAGCGCGGGCAGCCGGGGATAACGCGGGCGTGCTTGATGGCGTTGCGGTGCCTGAAACGAGTTCGGGCTCACCCGACGTGCCACGTGTCTTGTTTCTCGCGTCTGACGATGACGACGACGACGGCGGCGGCGGCATCGGGGCAGAAGGCGGCGGCGGCGGGGGGAGGAGCGGGACGCAGTAGCGCAGATTTACTCGGCCTTGGCCTTGCTGGCGTCGTTGTCGTCATCGGCCTCGAGCGACTGCTTGTCGACGGTCTCACCAGTGGAGAGGAAGTGGTAACCCATTTCGAGGAAGAGGGCGTACCAGTAGACGTGCAGGATCTGCAGGAACATGAGGAGGCCGTTGAGGACGACGCGCTCGACGGTGGAGACGTCGACAGACTCTGTGACAGAAGAGACGATGACGACAAACGGGTAGACGTAGAGCCGCATGTAGCCCCAGGAGGCGAGCATGGCGACGTAGGCAGAGAGGGTGAAGGTGGTGCTGGGGGTGTTGGCACCGAGCTTAGCGGCAAAGACAAAGATGTCGGGAAAGTCGTGGACGAGGATGACGAGGAGACCGATGCGAGTGAGGTTGCCGACAAAGGAGCCAGCAATAAGGAAGATGGTGACCAGATGATGGGCGAGCATCTCAACAAAGTCTGAGCGAGAGTCCTGGAAGAGGACATGATAGACGATGGACTGGATGTGGAAGCCGAGCGAGACGAGGTAGAAGGTCTTGAAAGCCGGCGAGATGGCATAGTGGAGAGGGAGATGAGTCCAAGCATTAGCCGTCACACCCGATCCGCCCAGAGCAGGAGGGAGATAGTTGTCACTCTCCGGCATGTTGATGAGCATGTTCCACAGCAGAGGCGCCGTAATGGCAAAGTAGACGAGCTGAAAGGCCGAGTCGCAGAACTTTGAGATGTGCTTGGCCTCCTGCTTGTGGGCCGAGAGGAAGCGAGTGGAGAGCGGAGCGAGGAGGTACTTTGAGGCACACCAACGAGCAGCTGTGAGTAGAGCAGCATATCCCAGAGAGGGGAGAAGGTGGACAAAGGTAGGGTAGCTGGCCACCTGGGAGGCACGGCGAGCCACTTCTTCCGACACCACGTAGGTGTAGTACACGCCCACGCCAACAGAGGCAAAGCACATGACAAGGAAAAAGCCCTGCATGAGCTTGCCCACAACGCCAAGGACTTCGCCGGCCATAGTGAGAGGAGGAGGGTGGGCGGGGGGTGTGGGGGTGTGGGGGTGTGGGGTGGGGTTGAGTCTGGTGTGTGGTGTGTGGGCAATGTGGGTGGGGTACAGGGGGCATCGGTAGTGGTTGATGTGGGCAATGTGGGTGGGGTACGGGGGCATCGGTAGTGGTTGATGTGGGCAATGTGGGTGGGGTACGGGGGCATCGGTAGTGGTTGATGTGGGCAATGTGGGTGGGGTACGGGGGCATCGGTAGTGGTTGATGTGGGCAATGTGGGTGGGGTACGGGGGGCATTGGTAGTGGTTGATGTGGGCAATGTGGGTGGGGTACGGGGGCATCGGTAGTGGTTGATGTGGGCAATGTGGGTGGGGTACGGGGGGCATCGGTAGTGGTTGATGTGGGCAATGTGGGTGGGGTACGGGGGGCATTGGTAGTGGTTGATGTGGGCAATGTGGGTGGGGTACGGGGGGCATCGGTAGTGATGTGGGGCGGGGTATGGCCACTGCTTGACAGCATGCACCTAGGAGGTAACTGAGGAGCGGCGCGATGGTGCTATTGGTCACGTTCGGGTATGGCCGAGGCTACGGCGGACGAGATGCGATCGCGGGCCCGGGTGAAGAAGGCGGCGAGGGCCGGCGAGGCCGAGGCGGCGGCATCGGCGGCTGCGGCCAAAAGCGAGGTGTTGCCGCGGGGCGAGGAGGGGGCCGGTGGCTCGTACATGCCGTCGCGGAGCTGAACAGCGAGGGCAAAGACGTGTGCAAACGGGACGTCGCGTGGGTAGTTTTGCAGCATCTGAAGCGCAAAGGCAAAGTCGGTGGCTGGCTCGAGCAGGATCGGGCGGAGCGCAAGGACCATGGCCGAAGCAAAGTGCTCCATAAACTCGAAGCGTAGCGGGTCGGCAAAGAGCGAGTCCCATAGCCGGAGGACGTCCGGAAAGTCAAACTCTTGTGAGAGGAGGAGCGTGAGCCAGCGAAAGGCGTAAAACTGCGGGTTGAGGCCCATGTCGTCGAGATGCTGCGAGAGAATCGGATCGGCTGCGGCGAGCGCGGCGTGCAGCGCGTGGCAGTGCGAGACGACACCCGAGTCGGTCGAGTCGAGCGACTGGCAAAAGTTGTCGCGGATCTCGCCCATCAGCGCCATAAAGCAGAAGAACGTGTCCGACTCGACCAGCCGCGGCTGGTTCGGCTGCTCGTGGAAGCAGACGTAGTACAGAAGCGCCACAAGCTCGTTCATACCCTGCACATACCCGATCCCGGGATTGAGCCGCGCATACACAAGCAGGATGGCGTGGAGCGCTGCGTAGTGGTTGACCGGCTCGTGGGCCTGGAAGAAGGCCAGTTCCGGACACGTCCGTGCAATGTCCTTGAGAATCTCTGTTGACATGGCCGAGTTCTCGTGGGCAGCCTTGAACTTGGATCCGGCCGCTAGCGAGAGCGGATGGTCATCGACAGCCTCAGCGGCGTCGAGCAGACTCACCGGCTCAGCCACCAGCCCGGAACTCCCTCCCGGGCACGGCGGCAGCTTGCGCTTACCCTTCCTTCCCTTCTTGCGCCTCTTCTTGGTCTCTCCTGCTCCATCCGCCGCAGCCCCGGCGTCCAATCCAAACGCCTCAACTTTGACGCCAGTGCTCGATCCGACGGCCTTTGCGCCCGCCTTTGCGTCTGCCTTTGTGCCCGTCGAGTACATGGCGTCGAGGGCGGCGGCGGTGGCCAAGCCGGTCTCCCCCGAATGGCTTCTGGTGAGAGATGGGTGATGTTGAACTCATCCAGGAACGCATCGTACGTCTCCCTCCGCCCGGCCGCTGCAGCAGACCAAGCCTCGGCGCCCTGGCTTGGCTCAGAGACCCCGAGGAGGACCTTCCACACAGTGGCCCGGAGGCCAGGCGCCTCGTCCGGCACCCCGTGGAAGGCCAGCGACCGCAGCCGCTCCACAGACACAGGCACTTCGGCAAGAATGGTCTCGAAGCCTGCCACCCGTCCGTCGCCCATCCTGTCTTGTCCCTCTCCCCTGCGTACGGAGAGGTGTGTCCCTCCCCCCCCCCTCCCCCCCCCCCCCCCTCCCCGACTCCAGCGATATATATATATATATATATATATATATATATATATATGTATATATATATATATATATCTATATATATATATATATATATATATATATATATATATATATATATATATATATATATATATCTATATATATATATATATATATATATATCTATATATATATATATATATATATATATATATATATATATATAT